CAGCAGCAGATTAGCATTGTATAGAGCGAATGCTGGCTGGGGAATTCTGGGAGTTGAACTCCGGACATCTTCAAGTTACCAAGGTTGAGAAACACTGTTCTAAAGTGTTCTGAATGCAGAGATAGGTGTGATGTTCAGCCAACAAGATGAACCAGTTTGGATTAAGCAACCACAATATGCTAAAATGGGTGAATATTATCTTTTGATTGGGTTTCTTCATGTTTTAGTGTGGTGTGTGAGTCCAGTCCTCCTTGTTGCATTACAGTTCAATGACACGAACCCTGATTTGGTTCCAACATCAATCAGTCCCATAAACTAGGTCCTCAAAAAATCCCCAGTTTGGAACACCAAGTCCCCCTTTGTTTTTCCAGGAGCTTCCTAGGATCATTTCTCTATGAATCGTGCCACTTTTTAATCTCAACAAATTTGCCTGTTGCACAATTGAACAATTGATAGGCTCAATGTCCCCACACTAAGGCTGACGGAACAAGAACTGGCTTAATATCTGTTCTCGGCTAAAAGCTACTCCCTGGGGGAATTAGTCGAGTAGCTCAATTAACCCCTTTTTGTATTTCTACAACACTAATTGAAGGTTTACGTCAATGAGCATACTGTGTGAACAGGATCAACATCATTCTGCTAGCTAGACACTAATGAGGAATCAATGCACACTTTTTGAATGGATTGTATGTTTGGTAGATGTTCCAAGTAAATTTTAGAAGGAGACTGTCAGCACTCCTCCATTGAATAATTAGGAAAGAAAACCACGAGACTCCATTGATAGAAATCAAGTGTACTTTTACTAATTATAAATGATCAGAAGCGTAGCAAAGCGAAGACTGATTATTTAGGCGCAAAAGCAAATGATATATAGAATAACCCATTCCCCACCCCTTGGCATCCCAGTTACAGTCCAATCATAATTCTTCCAAGTGTCAGGTGTGAGATAACTTCGAAAGGCATCACCGAGATGGAATGTCGGTGCTGTTGGTCTTGGCGGGAACCTCCTCTGCATGCGCAGTAAGACAGGCAGCAGAAACTCCAGAATCTTCCTCCAGCACAATTCATAATCCCCTCCCAAATACCATGCCCCCCCTCCCCGTTTCAATGGCAGCCGAAGCAGCAGCAAAGCAGAGGCTGACAGAGACTAGAAACCTGACAATGTAAAGCTTGATAGATATATTTTTACTTCTTCGTGGCTAAAGAGAATCCTTCAACTTGAACATGGCTGGCAACAAAAGCATTTGTAGAAAATATTTCTCTCTTCCTTTCATTGTACTTCTTGTTCTCCAGTCCTAATTGGTTCTGCTTCCATTTGGCAGAATTGTGGAGCGTCTTGCTTAAATCAGTGTTTCCCAACCTTGGAAACATGAAGAAGAGTGGACTTCAACTGCCAGAATTCCCCAGCCAAGCATGGACATTTGTGCTATTCGCCCCAGGTGTACTTAATCTGTTTAAATCAGTATTTCCCAACTTTGATAATTTTATGATGAGTGAACTTCAGCTCCCAGCATACCAGCTGAGGAATTTAGGGACTCAAAGTCCACCCATCATAAAGTTGCTATGGTTGAGAAATACTGTTTTAAATAGATCTTGTTGTGGCCCACCAGCAGCCAAACAGAGCTGGCAGCAGAGTCAGACAGGGAGGAGGCTGGGGAGGAACATGGGCCAGTCCTGGGGGCTGAGGAAAGCTCAGNTGCTTATTTAATTCTTCGGCAGCAACAAAAGTCTTGCCGCCACCAAGAGCCGAGGTGGCGCAGTGGTTAGGGCGCAGTACTGTAGGCCACTTCAGCTGACTGTTAGCTGCAGTTCAGCGGTTCAAATCTCACCGGCTCAAGGTTGACTCAGCCTTTCATCCTTCCAAGATGGGTGAAATGAGGACCCTGACTGTGGGGGAGATATGATGACTCTGTAAACCGCTTAGAGAGGGCTGAAAGCCCTATGAAGCGGTATATAAGTCTAACTGCTATTGCTATTGCTAGTGTTTGTATTATGTTCTAAGCTGTTATCTCCACCCAAAAATGTTAATTAGATAAAAAAGAATCCAGTAGGAGTACTAAAAATTGATAAAATAAAACCGGGAGGCACTACTGCAAACACGCTCCGGCTGCACCGGCTGCAGCTCTGCCCCCCCCAAAGTGGTCCAAGAAGTCGAGACAGTAGCCACAACCATGTGTTTGAACCCCAGTCCCTTTTTATGTTGTAGATATTCCTTGAGCAAAAAAGATTACTAGGAACAATAAGGGTTACAGAAATAAAGTATTCTGGGGAACTAGGGATGTTTGCTTGACTACACAAGGATTTGAAATGAGGTGGAAAACAGGGATCACATCTCCAGATCAGTCCTTATGGCCTTGTTCAGATAACTCACTTTGATCATTGTGTATTCAGTTAACAATGTCAAATTCCTGCCCTATAAAACAGAATTTCTCCTGGAGATTGAGATGGCCCTGATCCTGCTTGCCTGACTTATGTAAGGTGCTGGTGGTCTCCCCCACCCCAGGTGTTGGATCAGAAGGTCTTGTGAACCTGTCAAGATCTGTTGTTTTGTTGAACTGCTTGCTTTGTGATTGTCTATAGTTTGTGTAGGAATATTTGTCATTTAAATTGTATACTTCCTTGAGTTGCATGTCAAGTGGGGGACCAACATAATATATCAGATTTATTTGCTGCCCATCCTGGCTTGTAGGAACTCTGGGCGGCTTACAACATTAAAAGCTATAAAACTATCTTGTATTAATCAGATATTTTTGATCAGTTGATCTAATGTGAGTTTCTTGCAAACAAATTACATCATTCTTGAACTGTTTAAGATAGTGATTTATTTTCTTTCTTTTCTGTGGAGAGTTTAATCCATTGACGTTCATGTTAGGAACTTAGTTGTCATCTTTGGCTCCCTGAAGCTTTTTTAGAGCCATCTGAACATCCTGGAATTTAACCTTTGGTCTGGCTC